TTGGAATCATGCACAAAATTAGTCCATTTTAAAAATTCTTCATTTTTAAATGGTTTTTTTTAAACAGTCTGCAACAGAGATTGTATATCTTAGCAAAATATAAACTCCTTCAGGGCAGGGACTATCTCAGATTTGTATTCCTAAAGCCTGGCACATGGTAGGTGTTTAATAAATTGTTGACTGATTGATCAATACCTGATCCTTACTGCTGTCACAATTCTACTGTGGTCCCTAGATATTTTCTCTTTGTGGGAGCTAGGTGGCACAATGGATACAGTTCTGAAGTTGAAATCAGGAAGCCCTGAGTTCAAATACTGATATTGATGCTTATTAGCTTGGAGACCTTTGCCAAGTCACTTAACCTCAGCCATTTGTCAAATGGGGGCAATATAATATGCCATACTTTGCAGGGTTTTCGTAAAGATCAGATGAGTTAACATATTAAAAATACTTTGCAGAACTCAGAGTGCTGTATAAATGTGAGCTATTTTAGTATAAGGTAGTTTGCAATGATACAAATATTATAAGCACACTTAGTGAAGGTGTTATTATGGCCATACAATCACACCATCCAGTATAAAATAAAGCCCTTTTAGTGAATTCCTGTTTACAAAGCTTTCCCATTTGATACATGCTGAATTTTAGGCCCCATCAACACATCAGTAATTTTCCATTATACTGAAAGGTTTTTCCACTTAGGAACTTTTAAGTTTTTATTAGTTGATTCCTTGAAAAATATTTTAAAGATTTATTCTATTTGGAAAGCCATTACAGTTGACTTTTTATGCATTGCCATTTTGATGATGAAATTCACAGCACAAAAATATAAAATGCTGTCTAGAGTTTAAGACTGGCAAGCTGGATGCAGAGACATGACCTCTTACCATTTCTGGGATTGATTTACAAATAATCTGACCTCTTCATACCTCACTTTTTTCATAGGTAAAGTTAGAATAACAGAATCACTAGGCATCATTGCTAGACACTTCTACTAATTGTAAGAGGATTATCTTTTCACTGATGGCCTATTCCCCTACGTGATTTTCAATGCTGCCACATTTTTACTAAAAATATTTGCTTTCTGATGCTATTAAATAGAATCAAGAAGATGAGTATTCCTTGAGAATAATCTAAAGAAAGTTGTATACATTATGTTTTCTGGGAAGAGAAAATCATAACCAAATTGTGAGATCATAAAAGTTATAACTATAACTATATATGTACATTTATATTTAAAATTCCATACTGTTTTCATATGCGCCTTTTATTACCAGGGGAGGTTTTATTCAGAGGTTCCTAAATTTTTTTCTTCTTTTAAAAATAATGCTTTGAGCCAAGAGATCCGTTCCAGGTTTCACTCAGTTCCAGTTGAAAGTGTAAATGTGCAGCAGGATATTTTTGCAAGGAGCCTGAAAAATCACCCGTGCCAGATACCTGAAACTTTGTTAGAGTATTCAGTGGAAAATTTCATTTCCACATGATAAATAACTGTAGGATATTTTAAGAGATTGAGACAAGTACCTTCCAATAGCTGATTATATTCCCTCTATAGAAATATGAAATAGGGGAAGGACAGGGAGGGTGTCTATAAAACTCAGCTACCGGATGTGACTAATTAAAACAAATAATTTTGTCATTCACTAAATTCTCCGTAATTGCCCTTCCCCTCTTCCGTGAGTTTTATTTGTAGACAAGGTAAAGTTATACTTCAGCGATTTTTACTATTCATCCCAATGCTCCTATTCTATCCTTGATGTTAAAGCATATTGAAAGGCACAACATTGAAAAGGAAAGGGAAAGTCCTGAATGTCATTGGCTCAGCTTTCAAACTGCCCTAAATCTTCTTTAAAAAATAGCAAAGCTCAGCTTTCCCACATTTGAAAATGGGTGTTGAAATTCTCCACCCTTTTCTAATTCAGTGGTTCACCCGGGAAAAGGACATCAGGGTGGAGAAGGCATGGTTTTCATCTAGGTTGTTGGTTATTAAGCTTCCTATTTCCCTTAGACCAGAGGAATAATTTCACTTCCTGCAACGCCTTCCCTCTTTTGCATTTTGCATCCCCCGCGCAATTTCATTTTGATGGATACCAAGGGGTCTGCCAATGTAGGGAATGGTATTGTTTGTCCCGAATAAAAAAAAGGTGGGGGGACCGGGGAAGGGACGGTGACAAACTGAGAGGTCTCTTGGTTTTTGAAAAAGAAAATAGAATTTCCTCTTCCAGGACGGCAGCTTCAGGCAAGGGGAAAATTGACCACGGTGTTTGCGAACAGTGAACAGTGCCCAGAATTAGAGCTCTCTCCAGTGACCAAAGAGATCATTAAAAAACAAAACAAAACAAAACAAAAAACAAAACACAAAAACCGTACATGCCGACATACAAACAATTCGATGCACAATAAACTCGACTCAGATAATCCCTCAAACCTGCGCCCACCAAGGTTTGGGTAACCGGTCCTCTGTGTGTGTGTTGGGGGTGAGGGGAGGGACTTACGGATAGGGATCGGGGTGGGGGGCAATGAGAAAAAGGGGGTTGTTTTCGAGAGTTGCTGCATTTGTATGTTTCTCCTCTTTGGTGAACTTGTCAGCGGCAGAAGCAGCTGTAGGAAGGCAGAGAAAGAAAAAGGGAGGGGAAAGGGAAGGAAGTTTGTGCTTGCATGTGTATGTGTATCTGTGTGTATGGTTTAAGGTCAAGAGGCGGATGCACAGAGTAAATTAGTAAAAACAGTAAAAGGAAAGGAGAAAGGAGGAATAGATAGGGAAGAGGGAGAAAAGAATGCCCCCAAAGAGGAGGATTTTTTTTTGGTATGTGCAATCTGGGTCCGAGGAAGCGCATTCTTCTGATTTGCGTGAATTTACACACACACAGACACACACACACACACACACACATATTTCATAGGCTCACTTTTAATTCTCCAGGACTGTGGGGCTTTTCTTGTTTCCGTGTCACTTTAAAAATAAACCTCGGAGTTTATCTCGGGCTAGAAACCAGTTTAAAAGTCAACACCACCGAGAGCCCAACGCCCCTCACACGCGCTTTCTGCATTCCCCCGCACCCAACACCTTCCAAATACAGACCCTTCTAGACTATGTACAACCCAGTCTTTTAACTGGCGCACTAAGTTGAAGCGAAGCCTTAGAAATTACCAGGAAGATTTTCATAGGTTGTTATCAATGTGGGGGAGGTGTTTACATATTTAAAAAATTAATATTGTATATGTAAATTATTTTAAGCAAGTTTTTTTATTTTTTGAGAAAACAATTACATTTTATCTTAAAAGTCTAAGGAATGTTTTAGAATTTTCATTCACTTAAGGGAATGTAGATCGGATCCTTACTTGGAGTCTTTGAAACTCCTCTGGCAGCTCATGATTTTCATTTTGTGAAAAACAAGATCTTCAAGTTGTTGGGGGTAAAAAAATGTTCATGAAAAGCTGGGAGAGCAGCAGTAACCAGCAGGAGAAAACGGTCCCCTCCCCCTTTCCTGTGGGTGAAATTGATTCCAACAGATTCTCCACCCCCCTCCCCACTATCTCCCCCTTCAGTGGGCGAAGCACATTGCTGTATTTATTTTGAAGGCTACAGAGTATGAGGGCTGGCTGGAGACACCCACGTGCTTCTGACTCTCATCAGCATAATGATCGCCTTAGCCAGAGAGTCCTGTCTATATAAACCACAAAAACCTAATCATTAGAAATCCCCAGCCTCCAAAAACCACATTTTAGGACAAAAACTGAGGCATTTTTTCTCGCTCCTTCATCCTTTCGACCACATTTTTTTGAGACCCGAAGTAGCTCCCCCCCTTAAACTCTGATTTACAAATAAATAAATTACACCCACTAAACTTCAGGGGGGGAGAGAAAATTATTGGGGGGGGAGATTTTCAATCTATTAATTTTTAGACTCAGCAGAGAATTAAGGGGCTGAAAGGTACCAGGAACTGCCTATTTGCGCTCCCCCAGCAAGCTTTTTGCAACCTATTTTAACCACCAAGCTGACAGTTTTCCAACTGTTTTTAATCCTTCCTTCTTCTTTGGCAGTCACAAGGTTGAGTGTGTAAGAAAAAAAAAGTTTATTTCTTATCCTCTGTCATCAGTCACGCTTTTTTCTCTTTTAATTATTCTTTTGACCAATATTTCAACCCCCCCCCTTTCCGCTTTAAAAACAAATAAATAAGAAGTATTTTTTTCTCCCTCAAGCCTTTTTGGCCGTGGTGGGGGTGGGGTAGGGTGGCGGGGGTGAAGATAGATTAAGAAGTCAGCAGAGACGCTTTGAGAAAAACGAAAAGTTCACTGCTGTGGGATCAAGCCAGCAGCTCTTGGGCTTCCTCAATACATTTGGTCAGGAAAGTGCTCCTCGGTGTTTTAGGGGAGACAGGAAAAGGGAAAGGAAAAGGACAAGTAGAGGTGAAAAAAACCCTTTATACTCTGGGAGACATTTGCACATCTACCGACACCCCCAAAACGGCTCGGTATCCCGAACCTGCGGCACAGACAGACGGACTTGTCCTCCTTGGTGTTTCTCCCCCGCTGGTGGACAGCAGCAGTACAGCAACAATGCAAAGTTAGGACTAGAGATCGGCTGCGACTCAACTTACCTCCTGGCACCTTGAAAATCAGAAGGAAAAGAAACTCTTGCACTTAGAAGCAGAAGTAGTTGCAAGGAGGTGGTGGTGAGGAGCGAGAGAGAAGAGGAGGGGGGAGAAGAAGAGAAAGAGTGGAGCCTTGAAGCTGCGGAGGGTAGCAGCAGCGGCGGCGGCGGCAGCAGCAGCAGCCGTAATCTGAGTGAGCTAGAACACAAGGGGGGAGCATCTGCGGCAGCGGCAACAGGAGGAGGCGGCGAAGGAAGAGGAGGAGGAGGTGGAGGCGGAGGAGAAGGCTGCAGCTGGGCAGCTGTGGGAAGAGCAGCGGCCGCAGCAGCGGCAGCAGGCAGTCCTGGGGCTATGCTGTTTCCAGCTGGGCGCCGCTGAACAAGAAGCCGTCCGCTGAGCTGGACTTTGGGAAAGGGGGGCTCAAGGGAGACCCAGGAACCCAGGCGTCCGAGGGGACCCCATGTAAACCCGCTCCAACCACAAGCTCCCCCCAGCCGCCACATACACCCACGCGCCCCTTCTCGGCTGCCACCCTCGGTTTCTCCAAAGACTCCGGAAAAGAACTGCTCGTCCTCTTCTCCCCACCCCGCCAATCCGAACTGATCAGCACCTCCAATCTCCCCCCCCAACCCCCCACGCCGAGTGTCAGACTCTTCCTGGCCTTTGGCTCCATCGAACTTGATCTCGTTTATCTCCTCCACCCCATCGCCTACACCCCTTATTTCTCCCCCTCCTCTCGTTCTCTCCCTCCTGGTTTCCTTTTCTCCCTTCTTTTTCACCCGGCTTCCCCTCCCCCCCGGCCACTTCGCTAACTTGTGGCTGTTGTGATGCGTATTCCCGTAGATCCGAGCACCAGTCGGCGGTTCAGCCCCCCCTCCAGCAGCCTGCAACCCGGCAAGATGAGCGACGTGAGCCCGGTAGTGGCTGCCCAGCAGCAGCAGCAGCAACAGCAGCAGCAGCAACAGCAGCAGCAGCAGGAGGCGGCGGCCGCGGCGGCGGCAGCAGCGGCGGCGGCGGCGGCGGCGGCAGCTGCGGCGGCGGCCGCGGTGCCCAGGCTGCGCCCGCCTCACGACAACCGCACCATGGTGGAAATCATCGCTGACCACCCGGCCGAACTCGTCCGCACAGACAGCCCCAACTTCCTGTGCTCCGTACTGCCCTCTCACTGGCGCTGTAACAAGACCCTGCCCGTGGCATTCAAGGTAAGGAAGGGGCTGCCGACTCGCTCTGCTGCCTTGCCCTTCTGACCCCTGCATCCACCCTCCAGCTCACCCAGCACCGCAGCCCATCTGAATTCCCCAACGCCAGGCAATGGGTATGCGTGTGCCTGTTCATGTGTTTGTGTGAGGAAACCGGTTCCCCCAGACACCATCAGAGGAAGAGGGCAATGCATTCTTCTCTCCTGAACCTTCCTTACCAGTTACCACTAACATAAGAGGAATGTTTCCCCAAACGCCTTCCTCAAGCGCTCCGACTCCCCCATTTTAAGTAGGGAATCTGTCAACCCCATACCTTTCTTCTAATCCTAACTGAGAAAGGGCATAGTGCTTTCCAGCTCCCCCGGCTGGCTCGCTCCCCTAACCTCCGAGTGATGCACCTTTTTAATCCCTTCTCACTTCATCCCAGCTCCACTTTCCTCTCTCTACCGCCAGGGTAGCTTAGTGCACCTCTTTAGACCCCAAGCCACCTTTCCAAATCTCGCCCCTCCCTTACCTTCTGTCCCACTTTCCTTCTTTGACCTCTACCCCCTCCAGCCTTTCAATTTACTTCTTTACCCCCTCATTCTCTAGCAGTGGTCTTTCCCACTGCTTCTCTGCCTTTGCTTCAGTCCTACCCCTTAGCTCCTGGTAACTTTCTTCTAAGCACCTAGACGCAATGAACCTCGACACCGCCAACTTCGTTCACCGCCTTTAACCCTCAAAACACCCCGGGACCAGTTCCTCTCCACGGTTCCGTTCGTAACCTCCTCGGTCCTCCAACCCACTCCCCCAGTTCTCGGTTCCTACTGCTCCCCCTCCGTCGCTCAGACTTCCAGCTGGGTTCGCACTCAGTGGTGGCGAGGGGCACACTCTCTATTTGGCTCCCCACCCCAGTACAGTTTTCATAGTGTCTCGTTTGATTTAAGGAAAAACTAGGGGCCTGAGCCACTTAGAGTGTTCTCTGTCTCTCTCTCTCTGTCTGTCTGTCTCTCTCTTTCGCCTTCATCTCTCCATGTCATCTCTCATGTCAGGGGGTTTCGGGGGGGGGAGATTATTCCCTGGTCTGGGCTCTCTGTGGACGCCCAGCGACTCTGCCCGGGAGCACCCAAACCTATTGTTACCCGGGGAGGTTTAGAGGAGGTGGTATTGGACTAGGTGGTCGGGAGGGCTCTGGGGCAGGGAGCCACTGGAGGGCAAATCCGCGGAAGGGTACTGGAGACGGAGGGTGCCGGCTTTCCTGACCCGCGACGGGCTTTGCTCAGTCCCTGAGGCAGGGAAGAGATAGGCCGGGCGGCTGTTGGTGGGTGCCTGCAGTTGTCCAGAAAAGCTCCTGGCTTCGGGTGGGGTTCAAGGGGGTAGTGGAAGAGCGAGGGGAGGGGAGCCTTCTGAGGTGTTCCAGGGCAGAGAGTGGGGTGGCCGGGCGGGGATCTGGCCCCCAAGGGGGCTATGTGTGTGCCCGGGGCTCCGCCCGCATTAATCCCCGGTGAGTCCCATTTCTACACCCCGGGAGGTGCTTCTGGACTAAGCAGAGATCCTCACGTACTGAACGCCCCACTCCCCATTTTCCTTTTTCTTCTTAGAGCTAAATCTGGAAGCGATGGTGGGGGTGGGGAGTAATCACTTGAAAATTCTACTTCTAACTTTAAAAGTTTGGAATAAAACTTGGTTTAGCTTTAAATAAAGGAAAAAACAACTTTGCCCCCTTTATTCCCATTCCCTTTTTCTGTTTACATCACATTCTCAGTTCCAAGAAGCCGTGGGAGCTGAGCCGGTGGGTTATCACCCTCTCACCTTTTTTTGCGGGAAGAGGTACGAGCTTGGAAAGGTGGGAAAATTGGACCCGGCGACAGCGAGAGAAGCCCGAGTTTCCTGCTTTACCAATCTGTCCTCTCTCCATCTTTCCCCTGTCCCTCCTAGTAGTTCTCCTAGCAAATACCGTTATCTGGGTTAGAATATCAATTCTAGGGGTGAGTTTGGGTTCGGGAAAGCACCTTGTCAGGTTGAGGAGTGTGTGGTCCCCAGCCTGTTGCAACACGGAGAGAAGCAGACTAGATGAAGGCTCCGGGACAAGCAGGGGCTGCCCTAATACTGTGGAGGCAGGAATGAAACACCTTCCCAGGCAGAGGGATAACCTGAGGACTTGTTCAAGATAAAGAGGAGATTCTGAAAGGGAAAACAAATGTTATCACCCCTGGGGCCTAGATTTCAGAGTTGCAAAACCAAAACGCAGGCTAGACCAAGACATTTTTTTTCCCAAGGCTGTACTAATCTTCACCACTCCTAACTAGTAGAACTTGTGCAGGTTGGACTTGGGGTCCCTTGGGTAGGTACTATCAATAGAGATCAGGGTAAGTAAGGGAAGTTCCGGGAATGAAAGAAGGAGGTGATTCCAGATATTCCTGTACTGGGGCTGATGCCAAAACTCCCTCAGGCCAATCGCAGCTACTAGTCCTTGATCACTTTCCCCCCCACTCAACAATTCAGATGCAGTGTGTGGGTGGAAATAGAAAGAAAGAAAATTCCAGGTCAATTAAAAGCACTAGTTATCTAGATAGCTTTTTATATTGTTAGTATCAGTACAGAAATCGGAATGAGTATTATGGGAAAGGGATGATGCACTCTGGGGCAAGTTTCACTTTGAAACTGGCTTATGAAATGTTTTTCAGTCCTTGCCTTCTTACCTTATTAATTGCTCATTTTTAATGATTAGCATTTTATGTCCTGAAAAATGGAAATCTTGGAATATTTGTGAACAATAGGTATTCAATCCGCCAACTCAAAAAGTGATTTAAAAAGACTCATTTTACCCAAGGCCCAGAATTCTCATTAGACTTGAAGGTAACATGTTAAAGAGTTGGACAATTTAAATTTATTGGAAATATAAAATAAAAAGATGGGTATGAGGTGTCTACACAGCACCAAGCATCTGAAGTAAAACTTGAAAAGTCCAGTGATTAGACTACATACTATTTCTGATGCCAGAAATCTGCACATTTAGGAACATCTGGTTGCTTGACGAGATTTATCTAATATTTGGAGTTCTATAAAGAGTTTGGTATGGTAACTAAAAGATCAGGGATAGTAAATTAATCTCAAACTTATCAGCTTAGTCTGATATGATAATCGTGTCATATATGCATATATATGTATAAATCTCATATATATATGCTTTGGATAGAAAGTGCTATTTTTTCTAACATAGAAATGACATAATGTAAGAGATAAATGTTTGAACCCCTCAAAAGTAGAATGCCACAGGTAGCTAAACAAAATGTTTTACTTAGACACTTTTTTTCACTGAATGTGGTGATTTTTTTCCCCAACACTTCATTTATTTATTATAATACATCATACTCTGTACTGTTAATCATACTTGTTGTCCAGTGATATAGTTAATTATGAATTAGGGTTTTTTAGTTTGTTTTTGTTTTTTAAGGGAACAGGATACTCTTGAATAGTAAGTTGAATTTATAGACATCATAGTAACAGTACTAAATTGAATTAATCTGAAAAAAAATCCAACCCCTTCTCTTCACATCTCACTTCCTATGCATTTATAGGATGGCAAACATATGAATGTAAACAACAATTCTGCCTAAAATGTAGATGTTTGGCCTCAAACATCCAGGTATTGGGAAGCATACAGAATTTTGCCAAAAATTTTCATTTTCCATCTGAATGTTGTACAGATACAAACTGTTTTTCTTAGTCATTCAGAGAAGAGCTAAGTTTATTGCAAAAGACGTTGCAGTATGCTTTTTTAGTATGGCAGAATTTACCTGTGATGAGGGAGTAAACTCATCCAGACAAATTTGGAGGCCTAAAATGAGGCAACTTCTTTGGAGACAACAATTTGGTAGTAATATTTGGAAAGAAATATGAAATATTTATATTCCTGTGCAATGGATTGTTGTTTTTTAATGCTCACAAAAGATGGATAGATCATTCAGGTTTTTTTAATCAAAGAATTTACTTGTACGAAACTGCTATGGATTCTGTTTCCCCTCATATATTAAGCTTGTCACTTACTAAATGATATTGGCAATGAATCTTAGCATGCTTATGACCTAAGCAAAGACTTTTGGGGACGATCATTATATAATATTTTCAAGATTTAAGTGGATTAGAAATATATAATGAAAAAATAAGACTAGTCAGCAAAGAAGACAAATGTTATTTATCTGCAAATGGGAAGGGTCTTTTTTTTAACCAAATTTTGCAGTTTTGAAATGTTCACTCAGCCCAGGTGTCAAGGAAATGGAGATAAATATTTTTAACTTTTCTTTCTGGGTCATCTTACTGAAAGCTTAAAATAGTATGACTTATTAGTTCAGGGCTCTTTGTTATCCTCTATGATACTAGTAATGAAAAAGCAACTTCCAAATTCTAACCATTAGTTAATATTATGCAGAAATAACAGAGAGCAAAAACTTTAAATTAGCTGCCAGTCAGAGCACTATAATCTGTCCACGTATCCATTGTAAAGTCCAGTTTTCAGCATCCTTTGCTCAGCTTTTCTAGATAGCTTCAAGTTGAAGTACGGTGTAGAAACTCTAATTCCAGATGTATTTTTTTATATACCAAGTAGTACAAGGGTATTTTGCTGTTTTGTGTTAGAGTACATTGGGCTATATTTTTTAGTGGTCTCACTAAAACACTTTTCCAGAAAACTCAAAGTAGCAAAGACACTTTTAGATATGACATATTGCACATAGTTAATTTGACATTTTAGATGATGCCTTTCAGTATTTCTCAAAAAGGAGGGTTTCAAAATGACTGAGCATTTCCATTTCAAAATCATTTTTCAACATGACTGGATACTCTTTTTTATCTTAAAAAACTACACCTGAAGCTGTTCTGTTCTATTTTTCCTGCACATTGGCATTCCTACATATTCAGGCCCTTTCAGATCTCATGCACCTAAACCAGAAACATGGTATATTAAAACAGATGTGAATTGTTATGTAAAAGTCATGTAAATTTATAGTAAATTTCAAGTTGTA